TGTAGATTTTTTGCCCTAATATATAATATTATACTTGTAATAATATAAAGGGTATATATTTTGGTTTGTTTGAAAACACTCATATTCAGACTGGTCTACAGCACAGTTTGTGGGTTAAGATATGGGGGGAGCTATGGTCGGTTCACACAAAATATGCAATAAGAATTTCTACCTTATAAGAATATTTACGTCCACAAAACACTACCCTTTGCAAGCGTGATTCGGGCATCTAACAATGTATCAAAGACACAAAAAAAGTTATACATATCCTTATGTATACATATTAAGGAACTCGTTATTTCCCAAGTTGATTTTTTTTTTTGCAAACGCTCGCTGATTTTCCAGTTTTGGCCCTCCATGGATTTCCCTTTAAAATTACTTACTGACAAGCCTTACTAATTAAATATATAATATAATATTAAAGATCAATCTTTTTGCTCACTATTTGAAAGCGCATTATGTTGGTAATAAAGTGCTATTAAGAGATCAATTAAGTTAATTTCATGAATAATAGGGGCTAAAGAGTAATTAACATTTCAAAATAATTTTTAATCTCCATCTCGCTAATATGTTTTATTTTGTCTTTCACATATGCTGCTAATAAGAGGTAGAACGCTATGCATATTATGACTCTCACACTGGAACTGTTTACGCTGAGGCCGCAATTACTACTAAACTATGAGAAACTCATCTGACAATTAGTCCAATATCCTTTACATTCTCTTTGAAATAAAGATTCTCGATACGTATATTGTTTCCAGACTTTCAAATTTCTACGTCGTATGATTACAATTTTTAAGGGCAGCACCTGGTGTGAAAGGACTCGGAGAAAGTTCTCCATACAATGACCTATTATATAATATATCATTTGATCAAGAATCGAATTTCCAAAGCCAAAAACTACTAAGATTTTGGGTCAAATTCAACTTTTTTAAAAGCCGAGTTTTGGTAAATTTTTTGTTTTAGTAGAGATTTTTTTTATAATTCATTCAGAAGGCCTGAATCATTGCAGCAACAAAGTAACTCTTCTGTAACGTCTTCGGAGATTGTGTGTAACTCGAAAAATAATAAAATATGTATAAATACACTCTTCAACTTTTAAAACAATTGAATATAGCAGTTGTTATACTTTGAACAGGGTGTATTAGGTTTTTCATGAAGTTTTTTACACCCAGAAGAAAGCATCGAAGATCCTAGAAAATATATATATAAAAATGATCAGCGTGACGAGCTGAGTCGATTTAACCTTGTCTATCTGTCTGTCCGTCTCTCCGTCTGATAATGCAAACTAATCCCTCAGTTTTTGAGGTATTGATCTGAAATTTTGCACACGTCCCTTTCTACTCAGGAAGCTCCTCCTTTATTGGAACCGCCGATATCGGACAACTATAGAGTATAGCTGTCATACAAACTTAACGACCCACATCAATTCCTTTGTATTTGACGAGATATCATCTCGAAATTTAGCATATATTATAATGTATTATGTAAGCAAAGATAAATGTAAACAATGGTTTTTGACTTAACTAAATGTCAACAAAAGGGTCATTGACCACATAAAATGTAAACGCTAAAGTCATTGACCTCGTAATGTAAACAAAGTGGTTGATTTTTCAATATTTCTTATTACGGACCACTATAAGAAATAGCTGTCATACAAAGTAATCGGTCAAAATCAAGTCCTTGTATATCTTCACGAAATTTGGCATGGATTATTGTTCAAGACAATATTTCCCCTGCTTTGATCCTTGCAAGTTGTAAGTGTATAAAATGTTCGGTTACACTCGGACTTAGCGCTTCCTTACATTATTAATAATAGTTTCATGCGCACAGGATCATAAAAATCTGATACAATTACAATCCAGGCATGACATCAGTGTAACTTCTTCCTAAATAAAGTCCCCCAAAAATACTCATGTGAAACTTGCCAATTCTTTGCTCTTTCAACACAATGTAAGTTAACCGTTATAACAAAAGCAAGGCTCCGAGTGTTGATTTTTCAATATTTGTTGGGTTGAGGCAAAACTGTTTTGATGGATATCGATTTTTGGAAATCTGGACGAAAATTTTGCGGCTTAACCAAGACTCCATTAGCAATATTCGGTATCTTGTTGTGTTCGCACTGTACTTTAAATAGCACTCCAACCTAAATTAGTTTTACTAAAAACCTATCAGAGTTTGAGCAGCTTAAGAACTTGAGTTTCAAGACACTTTTAAGTGTGCAAGTTCTTTAACAGCGAATCAATTTCGCGGAACACGTTTTTTATACGAAATAGTTTTTACTCAATGTTATTAAAAAATCGTTACAATCGATAAATTAATAATACTACCATAAATTTATAGCTAAATGACATACAAAAACAATACATACAAACGTATTCATTAATTACAGTTAGTTGCACATTAAGCGATTTTCTGCTTTTTAGCATTGCGTAATTTCGTCAGTAGTTTACGAATCATAGTGAACGAGGTGATCACCGGCACCATAATGGGCAGAAACAGTGGAATGTATATGGCGTATTTTTGTTCGTCGGGAAAGTATAATTGCGCCAACAGACTTGCATCGAAGAACGCATGTTCCGAGGCGACAAAGGCAGTTCTTGCATAGTCGGAAGCAGCCAACAGATTACCCGCAGCAAGCGCCTGCTTAGCTAAAACCAACTTTTTATACGCGGCATTAATGGAGTCGCCGACGTCATCGTTGATAACAATATAACTAATGTTGTCTGTAAAGATAGAGTAACGGTTTTTAAAATTCTGTTACTTGACGAGTTGCGTACACTTACCCAGCAGCTTGATGAGGCTCTGCAGCGTGTTGCTTGCGGTAGCGATGTGCATCACTACACTGCGGCGTATATAAGCTTCATATTCCCAACGACGAGGCGCTATCTGCTCTAATGCCACCGTTTTCACGCCATCTATGTTGAACTGAAAAATCAGTTGCATAAACATATATAAGTAAATATATGTTAATAATTAGTTGCTTACCTCCACATTAATGTCCAGTAGCTTTTGAAGTTGATACAACATGATTTGCATGACATCATTGGTGTTTACGTAAAATTCGACCGGCTGTTGGGCAGTGTTATAGTTCAGACATGCCTCGACGGGCGGATTGGCAATGATGATGCCACCCCATTTGGGCGAAATGAATGAGTCCACCTTTTGGCGCGTGGCTTGCTTATTTTGACGATTATAAATGTGTACGGGCGCAATGTCACATGGTGTTATGTAAACCACTAAATTGATTGCCGGTTTGGCTGTTATACCAACGCCGAGATTCTTTTCAATCGACGTAATTATGTGTGGCAGATCGGCTTCGCCCAAAGCGTAATGGCGCCCAAGTTTTGTGCTATCGCGCACCTGTTTCAAATCAGCTTCAAAAGGCAGCTGATATTTCCATTGTGTGGTGAGCGTGTAATTGGATATTTGCGACACTTCCTTCAGAAATGGTGCAATGTAAGCTACAATTTTAGTAAAAGGCAAATTATTTATAAATTAGTAAATAAATTAGAAATTAAATTGAGAGACATACTCTCTACAGCCATGCGCACATTCCATTTGGCATTCATGATATCCGGACGTGGATTCAATATCGAAACCACCACATCATATTCCGTCTGTGGCGCTTCACTCTTGACCGCTTCTCGGTGATTTTCATTCAGTATTTGTTGCATACGATGAGTTTGCAGAATAAGTAAATTTATGACCTGCTTAATGCGTGTGGAAGCTGAAATTATGAGAAGCAAAGTTTAAATAATTTAAAAGAATAAAATTTGTAGAGAAAACTTACAAGTATCGCTACGCATCAGTGCGGAACGCTCAGATGTGAGCAAAACTTCTTCTTGCAATTTTGGCCATTCAATGAAAATGAAATCTCCCGCGCTTATTTCTTCCGCTTTTAGCAATAGATTTTCAAGGCTGGCTGGGGTTTTGGTCTGCAGCGCTTTCTCAAATGGCGCAATTTGCACAAATTGTGGGCGCCATAGATCTGTAATTTATAAAGAAAATATATTGAAATAACACTGAAAATATAATTGGATTATAAACAAACCGTTATTGGCATATGCTTCTGTCAACTCGTTGACTAGTAGTTCACCACGTGACTTGTCAAACGTGAATATGGTAATCTTTGTAGCAATTTCTATTGGTTTATCGCTCAAACTCATGATATCCGCTGATGGCAAGCTCACTCTATAAACGATTGAAGGAAAGTATATTTTTGATATATTATACTATATTATACTATACTATACTATACTACTATATATGTTCTATTTGAATTTACCTGTACACTTCTGTTGTCTTCCACCACATAGGCACACCAACAATAATGACCACAATCATGAAAGCCATGGAGGCAAATAGACGGTATTTATCTGCGAAAACATAGATGAAAGTTAAAAAAAAAAAGTAATCAAGAAATTAGTTTGTTACAGTAGTAGTGAGGTAATGTTATAATTTATATATCGATAAAATCTTGACCATTTTAAGAAAAATATATTTTTTGGTCTATTAAGCGCCATCGGATATTTTTTTCAAGTGTGCTGCACATTCGGAAACATAAATCCACAAATAATTTAGAAAATAGCTGCCGAGTTGAAAGTCCTTGGCCGGTTAAAAGTACGAGTGCGAGTTCGTCTATCGTGAAATAAATTGTTCTCTTACTCATGTTTGACTCTTTAATGGTTTGGCGATCCAAATAAAAGATGTCGTAGCGTATTCGTATCATACATTTTGAATCAATTCTTCAATCAAATAACTGTTTCAACTAAGTTCGAGTATAACTAACTCCAAGGTCAACGACTGTTATTCAATCAAGCACTGTATTTGTTGTAAACGCACTATTATAGTTGTTATTTTAAAGCTACTTAATTGACTTTTCTTGCCCAAATAAATAGCAAGTAGTATGCGTACTCCATTTACAATATACAAAAATGTATGCTACAACAAATTAATAAACCTATAAATGTATTTACTGTAAACAAACCACTTGGTCATTTGGAACAACTAATACATATTTATTTTTTATTTCTGTATTAAATAATTATATTTTAACAAAATAATTAATAGGAGGTATAAATTCTGTTTTACTTGCATTACGAACTCGTGCATACTTCATTATAATTTCCGTTTACCGTTATTCGGTTGCCCTTCTTTGAATGTGACTTAACACACAAGCCTTTGTAGTTAACTAAAATATAATTACTGTTATCATATTGATAACACATAAGATTAAAGATATTTGTGCGTCGCGCTGCTAAAGGAATCGTAGATTCTTAGCACGAACTATTCTTTATAACTGCAAGAAATCACGTGCACTGGCCCTCGTTCCAGTGGCGTATTGCGCGACACGTATTTGGTAAATTTTGTTGTGCCTTCACAACGATATACAATATTAAGCGCATTATCGACTGGCGTAATTGTTAAAAGTACAGAATCATCCTCTTCCTCGTCGAAGTCAGAATCTTCATTTCTATGCTTTTCCAGCGGTTCATCCGCTTCGGGCGAGAGATAGGTAACAATAGCAGCGCCTTCACTGGCGTTAAGGTAATAAATTAGGTCCAGTGTGTTCTCATCACATATGGCTCCGTCACCGAGAACAGTGTAGTTGCCGTGTGACCAACGTTGTATCTGCAGATTATATGTTGGATTAATAGCATTCGGTCCAGCCAAGTCTAGATCGGTGTAGTCGCGTAGTAAGGTAAAGATTTCGATACTTGAAAAAAGTGAAATCAAACGAGATATAGATTTACTGGCCGTATCAAGATCGAGCACTTCATAATTATGTGCATTCGCTGGTCCTTCCAGACGCCATTTTAAGGTGTCGTCGTGCAACAACTGATCTAAAGCTTGTTCGAATATTTCACGTCTCAGAAATTCATATAAACAAATCTCTGAATTGTCTTCGATGCGTTTTTGTATGCTTTTTTTAGTTTGGGCTTTTAAGTACACCTCGTTTAACAGTTCATTTATATTTATCGGAAGTTTATTTACTGGTGATGTGAACTCTTGTTTTCCAAATGGTCGCATTATGTCAGAGATCAAGTCGTCATTAGACGCACCATGAAACCAACCGTTAATAGTCAGCCGTGGATAGTCAAATGATGTCACTTCGCCAACTTGATGAAATGAGCGTGAGCCGACTTTAAAAAAGGCAAATTGATTATTTTTAGGTGATATTTTTCTTTTTACGGGGAATAATGGAAAGCAACGATCATCACTGTTGAAAAGCTCTAAACAACCTCCTTGATCTTCGCGCCACTGTTCCGCATTTTCCCAAGGTGACAGATAGTATATAAAAGCTATTTGTCGGTCTTTTAGTAAGTCATCGTGCACCAATAAGTAATCCCCGCAGGTGTACATAGAGCAAGAGGCAGACACATAATCTAATTTTAATCCTGTCAAGGCCTCCAGCCATGGTCGCACGGTCCGTCGTAGAATTTGCAGGAAACTTGTTAATAATTTACAACTAGCCATATTGGACAAGTCTGTACTTTGATAAAATTCGTACAAATCCATTTGTTTGCGAGACCATTGAACTTTTTGGACCATTTCATCCACAAGTTGTCGACATGTAATTTTATTTTGTAGTAGATCTGGTAGCAGGCAAACTTGAAAGGGATCTCTAAAAACTTTTACATCCGTTGGCAAATCGTGAAAGTCTTGTTTCTCTTGGGAGCTCCATTCGGCTTTTAGTTGCTCTGTAAATGTTGGTGTTGTGTATGAGTGATTAAGTGTTAAGTCAGCTATGATGTTTGCTTCTGAGCTAAGCTTTACTACTTTGCATTTGGGTTCACAGTCAGCACATCCTGTTGTATAACCATCATTTTTGATGCCACCAACTGCAAATGCAATACAATGAATTTTGTTGTATTAACTAGAAAACTACAAATCTCATACCTTATCAAGAATTATGATTTTCTTAAAAATATTTGTTTTTACGTTGTTGCTTATAACAGCTTTTTGATAATAAAAATAACTGAGAACACTGCAAACTTTTAAACTGTATGAAATATTAGGTCTTTGTTCATAAGAAACCCGAACATTTTTTTGTAAATAAAAGACATGTCTAATAGCCTGTAGGCCTCACCCTGCACATGGGAGAATTCCAACTTATGCAAAAGCACAATCTCTTACCTTCTCCGTCAGCAATATCTTCACTCGTCACTTTTGCCCTCGGTTTTTCCATTTTGGCGTTTCTGATAATATCAGACTTTTTTTGTAACAATATTCGCAAAATAAAATAATTGTTATTCTTTCAATAATGTGAAAATATATTTTTCACACCTGACGGCAAATGCCGTATGTCAAATATTGGCAGGGATGCAATGTCTTCAAGTGTGTCAATGTTGCCATAGTAAACTAAAATATATATTTTAGAGAAATAGTATAACATTTTATTTAATGATTCGCGGCCTTTAACAATTTTATACAAATTATTATTAATATATGTTGATATTAAAATCAAGTAACTTTTAAACAACTACTATATAATAATACATAATATTTTGCACATCACTAATCGCCGATAAAAAATGAGCTTTATTTATGTTAAGTTCAACATTTACTTAAATTATACACAGGATGCACGATATGTATATCCGGCCATTAACAAACCGTTCGGAAAGAGCTTTCAATATTTTATATACATATTAAATAAAATGCAAATCGTTTCATAAATAACAAGTTTGTATTAAAACACTCAACATTTACAAAACTCGTAAAGCAACGTTACGATTTTGCAAGAATCGTAGAAAATGCGATAAACAAAACCTCGTAGGTTTTAAATACCTTCATTAATACAGTTTTGAAATTTAAAAACCAACTACCAACGACTAGTGGTTGAATAAAAATTAAATTGAATTAAAAATTAAAGTTAGTAGTTAGTTATTAGTCAAATTAAACCTCGGCTATATTTTCGATAGACCTCGTATTATTAGAAACCGGCGCGACATCGTCTTTGCTTAGAGCCAACTGATATGCAACTTCAAACGCCTCACCCAACGTCAAAATTATTTCGTGGGATAACTCCTGAAATTACAAATAATAATAATGCATTATAAATACGAGTATGTATTTAATTATGAACGAGAAACGTACCAAATTATCCACCATAAAAACATGACAGTAATGCATATCTTCTTCTTTAGTAATATAAGCAAAATAGCGCAAGTCCTCGGCATCCTGACACACACAGTTGATGTTTTCGATATCGTGAGAGCATATGGTGGACTTTATTTATTCGCAATTAGTTAGTTTTGCAAAGAGTATATATGAAATAGGCGAAAACTTACACTATTGTCGATATTTAAAAACTTTACACCACCACAAGACACTGCAAGACCAACTTTTAGGCGCGTATCCTGATTAGACTCTTTGAGCATTTTGGTTAAATTATTGCAATCCTTCACTAAGTTCGATTCTCGTTCTTTGACCACTGGCAGTGGAGTGGCGTTTCGCTTAAACTTTAATATGGATTTTCGTGTGGAAGTAGTACCGTGTAATTCACGAATAACTGTGGACCCTAGATACTATAAAAATAAGTCAAATTTTGTTTAAATATGCTTGTACAGTTAAATATCAAGCGACATACATATACTGTGTAGAGTATTTGGCCGAAAATAAGAGTGTTTGGCGAATGACACCAATTGTTTGCACAATCGTCGTTATTACCCAAACACAAAGCAGCTGGCCTACGTATTTGCAATAACTCCTTGTTCAAGGTGCTGGTTTTATTAAGTTCGCATATTTTTTCCGACTGTTCATTGACCTCATTGCCAATGCTTTCCAGTATCGTATCAATCTCAGCCCACACTTGTGCAGCATTAAAATTTTCATTATCAACAGTTTTTTGCGACTGAGGAATATTTCTTTTGGGTGGTAGAGCTTTTATTGAGCGCACCAAACTCGGTGAGCGTAGGCCACTAGATGCGCGGTAAGCGGAAAAGCCATCCTCTTTAGCATCCATCGCCAAATTCAAAGTAGAACCTTTAAAAAGACCTATTTTGCGAAGAAATTAAATAATGTGTAATTTTATAGTTAGTAGGATATTTCACAAAAATATATGAAACTAACCAGCAAAAGGTGCGTCACCCACAAACTCCTCCACACAATCCGAAACACGAGAACTCAGTGGAGAATCAGGCAACTCAAATTGATTTATTGCGTCCACAATGAAGGATTCCAAATCTGTGTGTGGTTGCTGTTTAAGGCCCAATGATTGGCGCTTGCTATGTACACTGCTAGGTCTCATAAATTTGAGTATTGTATGTTCCGCCTGAGAAACCGTCGGTGGTGGAAAATCGGGTGTGGGCGAGTGTTTCTTCTCGTTAATATTATGGCAATTATTGTTCGCATCTTTCGCGGGCGATACTTTGCTTGACTGCGGTGGTGAGCTTTGGTCCTGTGGTCTGTAACATACACTTCATTATGTGAGCATGCAATGTAACTCGTGTACAATAATAAAACATCGTGATAAGTGATGTTTTTTTTTACTTACTTTTGCGGCATGGTTGGTGATAAAGATTCCGCCGCATTCGTGCGATTAATATTTGATGTTGTTAAAATGTGATTAATATTAGCATAGTCATTGGTTTTTATGGAACGTGGGCTTGGTATGGGTTTTTTCGGTAGTGTAGCGTTATGTGCGGAGCATGTAAAATTGTTTAAGTTAGTCAGTTTTACATGCTCATCGACACAACGCTGCCGTGTAATCACGTTCGTGCTTGAAGAATGCAATTGTGGTAAATGAGCTGTCGTTGTAACATTTGGTGAGGAGCGTGTAAAGCAATTTTGATCAGTCATCTCAACATACTCATCCACGCAACGATTACGCGTGTTGGCGTTAATAGCGTCTAACATGAATATTTTTAAAATAAGTGCCAAAAAATATTTGCAATTAAAATAAAAGTGGACATACTTTTCGCAGTATATCCATTGAGATCATGCACCGAACCGGTTCTGGTGAAAGCAACATGTTCGTATGTTTTGTGCGGCATTTGTGCACGATCACCATACCTACTCGGGCCACTCGGACTACGTGTGCGGTGTTGATTATTAAAAACACTCCACAGAATACGCTGTTTATCTACTGGTGAAAATAGAGGCATAATATTGCGGCCATTTTGACAAAATGGAGACGCGATACCTGTATTCGAGTTTTGCCAAAGGATCGGTTTCATTGTTAAATAATTTGATTGAGGCTTGTTGGTATGTTCTAAAGAACTCATCGAAACAGAAAGTCTATTTGGTTTTAAACTATAAGAGAATATTATATAACATCTTGTAAAGTGTGGATTTTTGTTTTTTGCATTACATACATTCATTCGTGGATAAATGTATATGAGATAAATAAAGCTACTATTTAAGTGTGGCGAGCTTACCACATTTGGGAGAAGCTTTAAGCCGAGCATCGTCTTGTAACGTGAGTATATAAACATACATTAAATGTGTATATTACACATCCAAATTATCCGCAAAGTTTAGAAATTATTAGCAAGATGAGAAAAGACGATGAAATGTCTTATACAATTTCATTGCTACAACAGTAATGAAGTAAATAATTTACAATTTTGTAGAGCAAGATTTGTAATGATTCTTGAAACGATTTGTACTACAAGTTTGCGACAGGCACTTAAGAATGACTAAAATTTCTGTTAGACAGCCAATTTGTTTGTGGTATTTGTTTTTAACGCAACATGTGGATTAGATTGGATGAAGTTTGTGAATCACCAAGCACAGAGACACAAATGGGTTGATGCAATATATATATATATGTATATAAATATGTATGTACATTTAAAAGTCGCATAATTGCAGATGATTTTCGGTAAACAGTAATGCATAATATATTTTTACAATGCTAGACACATACAATACTTTGGTTAGTTTTAAATAAATGCTTGCCATTTATATGCATGATAGGGTAGTTATAAGTAGGTACGTAAATAATAATAATAAAAACAGTATAAAGCTTCGCTAATCACAATAGTTAATATCATTCTACAATATTGATTCTAGTGCTGGGTTGCATCTTAAGCGATGGGATACGAGTATCTGTTTAATGACAAGTCTGAATCACGTTTATGTTAATGATCGTGGACAATGGGTGCATCAAATGGAGCATTCTGAATGTGAATTACAATACATAAATGAGTCATTCATTCTTTCCCAGTCTTACGTCTTTGGCATCAAAAATTCCTTGTGTGCAATATCACTGACTTTTGCATCGTTTTGCCCTCGTTCGAAGGCTATATTTGGCACTGGCGAGATGGAACTGTCACTGATCACTTCATGATCGTCTCCGTCACTGAGCTCGTTTATTGGTTTAAAGTGTGTACCATTCGAGGCGTCTTTGTAAAAATCTAAACAAAAAAAAAATAATTAGCAATTTTGTTTTTTTCAAAAGAAAAAGTAAGATTTGTTTGAAATAAAAATTACCTTTTATTGCGCATACAATTTCGTAAGTGACATGTGGTGGATAGTCCTTGAGCAAATCTAGTGCTGTGTGTCCTGAGCCATCGGTAGCATCTGGATTAACACCAGCTTGTAGTAGTACATTGACCACAGCTTTTTTACCGCAAAGTGCAGCCTCATGCAAAGCAGTTCCCGAGTTAGTCATAATGTTGACATCGACACCAGCGGCTAAGAGTGCTTCCACAACTTTTTTATGTCCGTTACGACTAGCTAAATGCAAGCAAGTATGAGTAAATAAATGTGTCGATGGTGAAATCGTGTACGGTGTAGATTCAATGGTTGAAGTTGTAGGAGTTCTGCTACCAGATGAACGATATGGTGCTAACAATTCGGGATGTGTGCGTATTAATGTTTGTACTGCTTGCAATCTGCCGAATTGTGCGGCAAGATCTAATGCAGTCTGAAAACTATTGTTGCGAACAGTTGGATCAGCACCATAGGCAAGTAAAATGGCTAGAACTGTGTTATGTCCATGTTGTGCGGCACAGTGCAATGGTGTTTCATTGTCGATAGTCTGGAAAGTTTAGTAAGTTTTGTAATCTTGTATTATTTCTATATTCCTATTAAAATTAGATATTCTCTACTAACCTGTGCATTTGGGTTTGCTGCTTTTGGTGTGTGAAGCAAGAGCTGTTTTACTATCTCGTCATGACCTGCCCAAGCAGCTAAATACAACGGTGTTGAACCACGTATATCCGGCATATCAGGTGCAGCACTATGCATCAGTAGAAGTCGCACAATATTGCCGTGACCATTTAAGCAAGCATGATGAAGCGGCGTGTAGCCATTTACATCTTGGCTATTGATGCATGGGCTTCGCCGAAAACTATTTAAATAAAATATGAGTTTATAATAAGAACACACACGCAACAAAGTTTGTTTATTTTAATAAACCTTGAAAATGGCCCGCTGTTACGTTTCGATATCTGCTCAAGTATTTTGCCTACAACAGCAATATTTCCGATGCGTGATGCTTCCAACAGCTCTTGATCTTTGCCCATTGCAACACTTCGCGAAGTAGGTGACTATTACAAATATTGTAAAGTTTGCTAAAAAAAATGGAAATATTTACAAGGCAATCATGACTAATCGCGCACGTAAGTTGCTTATCGATCAAATTATCAGATACCTGTAGTTACTAGCACGAAATTAAATTTTTTTGCAAAAGATATGCACACAAATTTTTAATTTCGCACATTTTCTTAAATTTATATATATATATTAGAAATGATCTAACGTGGTTAATTAGAAAACAGCTCTATACTCTTATCTATCCTGAGATTTGTTTACTTTATGTTCAAGGTCTTTTCAGTATGCTCAATGTTATATTAATCATATTCTAATACACATTTATCACTTAATGTTAAACATTGCGAACTTCAATAATACCCTTTTTTACCTATTAAGAACACGACTTCATATTTCTCACATTATTTGCACGTAATTCCATTAATGAAAATTAAATTTCTATGCCCAAAAACCACCAGTGCAATTTTTGGGCCGTTCTATTTTCTAAACCACTTGCAGGGTTACCAGACCACACACTTAAAATATTTGTTCAATACAGTACAAGCTAAAATAAATGGCATCCTATTACAAATGAATTCAGCAGAGACCTACGTCAAAGTTGCCAACACCTTATAATCCATATTTTTTATTTGAGGAGATTTTCAATTATTCAAAAAAGTAAACATACTACAAAGATGCGATTTTCTTTTTTTTCAAAAAAAAAAAAAAATTTAAATTATAAAATTTGCGATCTACAAAATTAAAAACTAAATATTTATAATAGAAGCAATGTTGTCAATGAAAACTGGTTACAAATAGTAATATTTCTTTTTGATGTCTTGAAACATAGCAGTATATTTTTTAATTTACAATATATGCTGGAACATTCTTTTTCGTTTGTTGTCCCCTAATGGAGGATCTATCAGATGTTGAGCTAATAACAACATATAACGATCAACGTGTATCATCTTAACCATAAAACCGAAATGCGAGCACTTCAAAAGCTATCGCAAATAGTTTTCCAAAATCTTTAATGTTCAAACTATTGTAATAGAATAATTTACAATGGTATTAGAAATATTTCATCTTTGGCGTTGAGCTGGCAGCCCCCTGCATTTCTAATTGGTGGCTGCTGAATTCTGATTGAAAATGGATTCAGCACATTTGAAAACAATCGGCCGCAACTGTATTCAATTTCAACTTAAAAAGAAGCTTCTAAATAAATTTGTAATTTTTGCGTATTTTTACGTATTTTCTAAACTATATTAAATAAAATGAGTATCTGTAAGTGCGATGAATAATAATGAGTTTCGTAATTAATTTAAATGATTCCATAATTGTAGCGTTACAGGAATCCAAACCCGCAAGCACATCCAATCCCCAATACCGAAGATCCTCACGTCGCAACCGTCCTGAAGATTTGGAGGAAGAAATAGAGATGATAATGTCCCAAGACGACGTTAGCGATATAGAAATGGATATTGCGAAGGAAAATGTAACTACGTTAACACCACAGTCAAACAAACATATTGAACAAATTGTATCGCCCGGCGAATTAAAAACTAATGCTTTGGCGCATACTCCTAGACGTAGTACTCGCAAAAGCGTTAAACCCGTCCAAGAATATGAAGACATTGTAACTTGTAAACGTCAACTGAGATCGACATTAAAGGTGGAAGAGAAAATTAACGAAAAGGACGGGGAGGAAAATAATACGGAAGAGCCGCAACCAAGATGGACACCCGCAAAGGTGGGTCGTGTGTCACACAAGCGAGGTCGAAAGAGCCGTAAAACTATTGGAGATAAAAATAAACCGAAGTTGATAAATTCCAACGAAAATGGAGATCGTATGAAATCAAATAAAGAAGAAGATTTACAAAATGATGAAGTCATTCAATCAAAAGACGAAAATATTAATGAGACAGATATTCAGGAGGAAATTTTCAGTAATGTTGGAGAAAGCGATTTGACAAAAATTGCTAATATGGTAGAAACTGAAAAAGAAGCTATTACATATAAGGAAGAGAAATACATTAAAAAAATAAATGAAACTGAAAAAGGATCAATTAAAAATAAGGAAGAAAAAGGATCAATTAAAAATAAGGAAGAAAAAGACATTAATAATATTCATCTTACAAAATCTGAAGTTGAAGATGTTACAAACGAGAAAGAATGTAATGAGCAAGTCATTACTGTAGATATAAATGAAGATATTCTAAAACGGGAAGAACATGATGAGGGAGTCGCAATTAATATAGAAGATAACGCTAATGAAAGTAGTACCAATAATGAAGTGAACGGGAGAGAAGATATCGTTGCGGAAGAAAGTATTTTTCAAGAAAAATTAGAAGGGGGTACAATAGAAGTTAGAGAAAAAAAAAGTCAAGATAACTTTGGCACCTATTTGAAAAATAAAAACTTGAATATTTCCGATTTGGGACTTAATCCATTAACAGAGGAAAGCGCTTTAAATGAAGATTTGCAACTGCTTGGAGAAAAAGATTGCAAAATATCTAAAATTGAAAAAAGTTCCAACGCAGATATCCAAGTTGTTACAATCAATGATGATAGCGATTGCATTATGATAAATACAGATGTAGCAGAAGATGAAGAAGAAGAAGAAATGCAGCCGTTGCAACTTTCTGATGATGACAGTTCTATGTCGCCACCACGTAAAACACCTCGCATTATTCTGACCACCGATGAGGGAATAGACCAGAAATTAAATGTAACAATTACTCAAAATGATAGTTCTACGCCGAAAAGATACTCGAAGACTGCAAAGCGTATGCCAACACCATACAAGAAAATTACTGATATTTCAATAAAAGAAAATAACATCGACGAAAATTGGAATGCCGACGAACCACCTATTACCATAGAAATTTCCAGTATGGAACCAAAAGAACTTGTTTTGCGTAGCATAAGGAAACGTTCATTTTCTGTGTGCATTGGAGGCGCTGAAGCAGATATTAAGCGCAAGAATGTTACATTTTATAGCCCTGCTAATCAGACTGTAATTTTGGAAGATGTTGACGTACGTATGATACAGAGTGTAAAGAAAAATATTGGCTTAAAAACGGCAACTACCGAAACTTGTAAGTAATAATGTACATTGCAGCGCCAACTGGATGATTCAATGTTTTACTAACTTTCAGTTATAACCCACCGCCGTAAACGTTCTTTGTCCTTTGATGAGGCAATGATAAATAAATCAAAATGTCGAAGTAAGTTGTTTTTTTAGAATAAAATAATTTCTGTAGCTTGATAAATACAAACGTATTTCACACATTTCTAGCACAAACTCCAAATAAAATGGGTGTGACTCCACAAAAGGCCAAAACAACGCGTACCAAATTACCAAATTTCGCAGCTATTCATCAGAAAAATTTCGAAAAAATGGAAAGTTTAGTCGATCATGTGAATCGTAAGGCAGAACGCGCTAAACTACTTACGAATTCGGCATCAAAGGATCGTGTTGGTAAGTTGCCCAACATTTTTTAATTATTGGAAACTTATATAAAATGGCTGCTATTTTCATTAGCGAGTGCACAAAAGCCAGTAAAAACCCATCAAGCCAGTACCACGGCTACGAATCTGGACAAATCTAAAGCAGTGAAACGTATTAACTTGCACACATCAGTAAACTCGACATTCTCAGGAATTAATAACACAACTATGAATAAAACATTTGACACATCACACAAAGAACATCACGATTCTAAGTTGCCTATACCACGTATTGGTGTATGCAAGCCCTTGGTTGCAACTGAAACAACGCATAAGGAAAACCGTGAAGTAAAACTACCAAATCCACGCTTGGGTGTCATTAAGCCGCACACCATAACCGTTGTCAACAACAAAAATAAACAAATGACACCGGCCAAGAATGCGCTGAAACCGACACAGCAACGACAGGCCGCGCGACCTCTTTTCAACCTATCAACAGCACTCGAAACGCTTGCCAAAAATTCAAAATCGGCAAATACAACTGCCGCGGTGCCAAAACCAAGCGCCACCAACACAAACGCAAAAGTCGCGCCAACAATGTCAGTTGATGAGAAAATGGCTTCGCGACGTCAACGTCACATGGATATGTTCAAGGGGCGCTCTGCGAACTCGCGCACCACTCCTGTCACGGCTGAAAAGAAATTCGGCCAACTTATTAGAGGCGTGCGTTCAAATCGTCGCTTTGAACTACAAATGGCGCATCGCCAGAACATGGAACATTGAAGCAACAAACAGAAAGATATATATCTTTTTTATTTACTTATACTGGTTTTCTTAGTTCTATATATTGTTTAGTGTATATTTCTCGGGCTCATTAGCCAATTTCTGCGTGAAATATAAAAAAATATATATATTTGACATATTTGGAGTCAAAATAATTTGCATTAAATTTGAATGTTCAATTCATATTTGTTTTTGTACGACTTTAAATAATTTCTTTGTTTGTCATTTTTGTGGTCACTGGTTTATTCCGTTTGAAAAGGGTTTGGTGGTGCAAACAAAGAGGTGGTGAGTGTCAAGCGGGGACTATATTCATGCAGGACATGTGTTTGGTATGTCGGGGTCCAAACTGGATAACTAGGATTTTAATCGAGTAAAACATCCAGAAATTTGCGCTAGGGTCGTAGATTCGATTGTCGCTGGAACGTGTTTATTATAGTCATTGTTATTCCATTTAGGTATGATATTTGATATACAGTTATGTCAACCATTTTTGAGTGCTGCCGATTCCTCGAAGCTAGTTGTTAACGGGATTATAAAATATGAGTTTGTGGAGATGAGGATCCGGTACTTGTCAGCTGAAGGCAAGCAACGAGGAACTGCAGACCTATTTTGAGATGTACTTTAAGAGCATTGAGAGAGTTTCGAGTTATTCGACATATCTTAATTATATGTAAAATGGTTGTAAGAGAGTTTACATCAGATGGATAAGAGTATAAATACTGTATTACCGTTATAATTTGGCTAACTAAAGAGCGTATTTAAAGTTTATTAATGTAGGCTTAAATTCTCTCTCCCAATTAGAGCGCGCTACCAGTGAGTCCTCAAACTCTTTCGCAGGCATACAGTTCTCACTTGGTCTTTACTCTCTGTCAGACATTTATCCGCGCATGCGCATAATGCACCTGCACTCACAGCGCACAAAGTTAGCACGTGACTTTTGTTTACATTAAGCACCAACCCACAACAGCAAGCGGTAAAAATAAAGAAATGACCGCCTCACCACGCAGTCCTTATATTATCTTAGCAAGCGGTCAGGATTTCTCGAAAACAAAAAAAAAATAATTCAACTCTTTCATCAAATGCGATAAGCGTGTTGATGCTCTGTGCGGTATTCTTTGTTTCTTGGTGACCTACTTTCCACAGCACCGCTTTGCAATGTGCTGTCCTCCGCCTGCACACATCATGCCAACACACCCACAACAGCTGTGGTGCATTAAGCTGCTGTCAAGCTGCGAACCCCGAATCACGCTGTGTGAAAGCTCTGGCAGTTAGTGGTTTTGACTGACAATGCGTGTGGGGCGCCAACGTGATTGTAAGCGTGCGGGTCAACACTAATACACGCATGCATTATTTAAGGACACATGTTTTACACCTTGTAGAGAAGAGTTTGGGGTATAGCGGAATGCATTGATGCTCTGTTGGAAATATATTTTTCGTTAGTTTTGTCTCGGCGTGAGTACGTTTGCTGCTCCGCTTGCTGCGTGCTAATCGTGCAATTACAATTAAAGTTCTTTTTCCTCGCAAAGGACATATGTACATTCGGCTGTGCACGCTTTGCTGTTAACGGAAGTAATTGAGTACTCAATGGCGATTCTCATTTGCTCGTGCGTTCGTTCGTGCAGAGTTGAGAAATAATGCGGTTTCGCGTTTTGGCTTTGCTGGACTAACAATGCAGCTGCCACGTGACCTTGGTACTTACATACTTACTGTAAGTATGTATGTTTGTATGTGTTTGTGGTTTTGTATGAAGATTTTTGTGTCCTTAAAGACTCTGGTGCCGTGCTTTGGATCGTTACCCTGCTGAAAAATTCAAGCTAGTGGTAAATCATCGGCGTAAATTCGATTTTCAAATGTTTTGCTGAAATGTCTCTGCCAGCCATTTTGCTTCCACTTTTACTAGAGGGCCTACAACGAATGAGGTGAAGCACAGCCATACCATGACTGATGATCAACCATGTTCTTTTTGTAAATCGTGGGTTTAATACTTGTAGTGGTGTTCGCTTGACATAGGTTCTGCCATCATTATTCCTAAATACATTAAACTTGTATTCATCACTCCAAACCTCTAGATGCCAGAGTTTTGTGTCCTTTTACTGTTGCTCTGTCGCAAACGATAGCCTTCGTTTGTTGTTCTTCTTAGTTACGTTCACGTACATCTTGCTTATGCTTCATTTGGGCTCTAAATTCACTTGATGCCAAAAAAAGATCCACGTTGCTCATCCATACTATTTGCCTATCTTCGTTAAAAGTTTGCATTTCTCGGTTTTTAAGTGACAGATTTTCATTTGTCTTATGTTTCCTAAAATATTGTAAAACATTTTTAACTCTAACCATAAAAAAAAAAAATAAAAAATTCCATTGCTTTCGCAATATTTTGTACTTTTGGTAACATTCCCATATGATTTTTTTCTCACATGAAGCTGAGCTCTTAATTTTGCTAACTCTTTAGCGTATTCGAATTGGTGAAGCCAATACACTTTTCAATTTCTTAATATATATTATTTTGTTTTTACGTAGATCGTTGCAATAACGACTTTTGGTACACTGGTTCAATTATGTGTGCACGCGCAATTAGACCAACTGCGAAACAATTCCAATTGGACAAACCATAATCTACGGATTTTAAATTTTATTTTACTATGAGTATACTCAAAAAGTGTGTGATTTATCTTTAATGTAGGATAGAAGAACTTTCCTTCTGGAAAGGAAAGGAGAAAAAAAATCCACGGGAAATTTTTGAAATATTTAATATCTCATATATTAAATTCTCCAAGTAAATACGTTCATTTAACTACTAAAATTATAAAATTAAGATTTTAATTTAGCATAAGTAAAATACGAAACCGCCTGTTAAAAATGCAATTAGTATCTATATAAGCAGCAATTATAATTATGCGTAACAATTTTCAGGATATATTTATATGTGTGCATATTCTCATTATACGAGGCAGGTTTGATAAGTCTGAGGATTCGTTTTTGTTTTTGGAAAAAAAGTTTTGTTTTTTTACTGATTATATTCCCCAAGCAGAACGCGATTATTTCCTACTTTTGGCCTAAAAGCAAAACTAAATGAGTGATGACCACAGCGTCAAATAACATTAGCGCACAGCACAAACACGTGCCACCGGATAGCTGCAGAATACGAGTTGCACACTTATACGCCCACATAAGTATTATTAATATGTAAACGCTTTCACTTGCACCAATGATCGCACACTCCCACTACAGCACACCCGCGATTGCAAAAGTCAGCTTTCCACTTTGGTTGGCGTGAAATTTCAAACCGCAACGCAAAGTTTTCCGCATATTTTTCAACAGCTGGTCGGCCAATTGAGCTCACAACCAGAAATCTGCGTGGTCAATGACAAAAATTGAATTATCATCACTGCGGTAAAGTGGCTCCAGCATGCGGTTGCGTGAAAATACCAGCAGACTATGAGCCATGCAGCAGGTCGTTGAGTGCTTTCCTAGAAATAAATTTACTAACACACACTTAAATGTATCAGTTCATTGATTTATTTAAACATTTTATACGATTTCGATATGGCTCGCATGGCTGAGCTTACAAAAGTGCCGTGTATGTATGGGTGTAAACGGTTTATTTGCGCATATTCAGTTAGTGTCTAAATTTGGAGCATTTCCGATTGAGCGGACATGAAAGCTGTAATAGAATATAATATTAGTTAAATTATTTATAGTATACTTCAAATGATTCAGTTCGGCATCTCATATATGTTCATATGTGCATGTGAAACCGGTTGGTGTTTTTAAAAATTCAATTAAAAAATTCTACTTCTAAGCTTACAAGTGCACTCCGATTATTTATATTGCACATTTATGAAAAAATGTATTATTAATTATTATTATTAAAAAATATATATTCATCCATATAAGCTTCATGCAATCTCCGAACATTGAGGACCCAAGTACTCTCTATTTGTTAATGTAAACTTAGAAAAGACTTTTATTGTTTTCTGTTCTCCAAAAAAAATATATTTTCTTAAATTTTCTTTATATACCATATATTATATTTGTTGTTATAATTTTAAAAATACTTTTTAGTATATTCATACTATCTTAAAGCCCATAAAGAAAAGTGCAATAAGTATAAAACTGCATTTCTTACAAACTTGCTTGTCAACCATTACTTAGAGTGTGATAGAGTGAGTTTGCACTTAATTTTCTTTAAATAATGAAAATCGTACATCGTTGGCTTCGTTTTAAATTCTTTCTTTTTAAGAGAGCTCCAAAACACTCAATAAAAGCATAAATATTGCAACGCGATAAATGTACAACCAAAAACCACTCTAACTGTGCCACCGCTGCATGCTCAAAACACACATCGCCTGCATTTGCATCGCGTATTAGCCGATTTAAGCATTCGTGCAACAACAATAGCGTAACAATTGTCGACAATTGTAGCGCGTGCTATGAAGTAGCAATAGTTTATATAGTCGAAGAGCGGTGCGACAGGGCGTATGAGTGCCACTAAAATTTGTAGACGACTTTGCAAGTATGTACTTGAAAATTTTCCAAACTCATTTGCTTTGCGTCAAGTTGCTGTTGCTTGTTGTTGTTGCCGTTTATTGTACCACGCTTGTGTGTTGTTGTCAATACGAAACGTGATGCACTATTTAATGTTGCTTGCACTTAACTCATTAGACGCTGATTAAAGGGTGAGGCGCATATGCACTGGCTTAAAAGCGTTAAGTCGTAAGAGCACATAGATATGTGTGATTAGAGAGTCAATTGATGATGACAGTCATTGACGCGCAAAGCGATTTCTCTTTCCTCATATTTTTATTAGTACTTAAGTATGATATTTATAGCTGAAAACAATTTGTGAGTAATTTATGCGTAAAACTACTTAAAAAAACTCAATAAATAAATGTGTCAGAGACATACAATTTTACACTCTTGTACCAAAATAGGCTTAATAGAAGCTGGCTTCAAAACTGGACTTATGGCGTAGCGCTTTATGCTATAGTAGAACAATTTTCAAAGGGCTCATTGACCCCATTAAATGTAAACAAAGGTTGTTGCCTTTGCTAAATGTACAATAGGTTGTGGACTCGGGTAAATGTAAACACAAGCGTTATTGATCTAACAAAATGTTAAAAAAAGGAGTCATTCACCTCGGAAAAATGCAAACAAAAAGTTCACTTA